TCTGTTTAATATTCAACAAGTTGAACAGATAATCCACCCTAACCCCGCTACTTGGTATCGGTATCGGTATCGGCGAGTACCTAAACTGAAGTACTTGTACTTGTACTTAGTCTTGAAAAAACTGGTATCGGGACACCCCTAGTTTAAACAAGTGTGAATTTACCTGGACTCTTGAGGGAACAGGTAGAGTGACCACGTATCCCTCTGTCGACACCACTCTGGCTGTTTTTTCTCCATCCATCGTAATATTCTGGCAAAACGACCCTGCAGTGAGAAAGAAGCGTACAAACACAGATAAAATGAAGGTGTGCTTCATCTTTTTGCATTATCAGTGTAACTGCAATCTAAAGATCATTTAGAAAACTTTGTTTTAAGGTTTTAGGGATCAGAACATAAACCAAAACTCAGAAGCAGTAAGTGAATTATTACGCCTATGATACTTTTWAAAAAATTATATAAAAGCAGCCAGATGCTGGAAATTAAAATTGTTCTTTCTAAATGAGTTATCAACACGTGTGACCATCTTTGTGTAAGAAGATATTTTTGATAGTTTGCTGGTCTGGGATTCAAGAGTGTGTGCCAAATAGAAAAGCCATCACCAAAAGATGCTAGGAAAACAATTACTTGACCATCAATTTGAAAAAGGTTAGAAGGTCAGTTTTAAACCTTTATCACCCAAGAAGAATAAAGATCATTAGGTCAGTGGAAAAACATTCATGAAAGTTGTCAGTCTTTGCAGAGGAASCTGAGTCAAAATATTCAAACTGTGAAATGCTAGGAAAGGTTTGTAAAGACACCAAAAAAGAAAATTACTTAAATTTACATTTCATAGCTTACAGGTCTTTGGTATAATGTGAAACATTACAGTTTATGGCACGACAAAAGTCACCTGGAGGAAATGTTGTTTTATAAAGAATGTGACACCACTGGTTAAATGTGCCAACGATGAAAAAAACTTACAGAACAGTGTCCTTTAAAAAATTGAGACCAAAGTGAAGATGTTTTGTCATCATGCAGAGCAGAAGCACTTCAAGTGAAAATCAAACACAGCTAACACCTCATACATGCTACAGATGCTCACATAGTTGTAAACATGCACATAAACTGACCAGGTTGGCCTCCTCCTCTACATTCTCGTCTTCAGTGTTTTCCTCCAAAGAGACATTTATAGGATTGAGGGCTGATGGAGAGCCCTTCCCATTGCAATCTCTGTGCTCTGGAGGCCGTAAATGACACAAGGAAGGAGGTCTAGAGCTGTGCATGCTGGATGAGCGGTACAGGTATGGCACCTACAGATATGGAGGTTGGAATAGGGTGAGGAGATACGTAAAAACACCAGAGGGAAATCAGTTAAAACAACAGAGCATTATGTGGACAAAAATCCAAACTTAATGACTTCCTAATGAGTCATTGTTTATAGGTTTGTTAGGGATGAGTGATATCTTCCAAAAAAAATCTTTAGAAATTTAAAAGGAAAAAAAAATCAGGATTCAAATTAAAAGGAATTTGTTTTCAGTGTTTCCCTTTTTTCTGAAGCCACAAGAGATTTTGGTTAAATTGTCTACAATATCTGCAACAATTTTTAGAAGTCCATACATCTGTGAATGTAACCTAGTCATTTTTTAATCAACAGATGTGATGTTTTTGTTGCAGTTCTAAAATGAACTGTAGATCTGCCAGAGTAATGGTTACTGTATAACCAAAAAGAAAAAATAAGTAGGTTCTCTGGATGGGTTCTTCTTTAGAGAAACGTTTCGTCTTTCGTCCAAGAGACTTCTTCAGTCTGATGAGTTTCAGGTGAACTTAGCCTTAAAAGCACTGCCTCCACATGSTGGACAAAGAGGACTCTGCAGTTCTACAGGCCAGCGGTCACTCTTTCAGGGATGAAGATGTTCTCATCCTTGATAGAGAGGAATGTTGGTTTGAGAGAGGAGTAATGGAAGCCATCTTTGTGAAGAAAAACTGTTCACCATTAAAAAGAGGTGGAGGCCTTCGTGTCCAGTTGTCCTGCTCCTACATCGCTGTTATTGCAAGTATGACTCAGCCCCCTGTGAGCAAAAGGTGTGAATTAGGGCCCCAACCAGGCCCAAGTACCCCCGGCTGCAGACTGTGGATTAGGATACTAGATGGGGTCGGACGTCCAATGGGTGTGGTCATGGCTTGTAGGGAAGTTTAATAGGAGGCTTAAAAAATTGGYCATGGCTAATTTTAGTATTTAGCATCTGGGATCAATAAAGTATTTTTGAATTGAATTGAATTGAATCAGGGTGAAGAAGTCTCTTGGACGAGAGACGAAASGTTTCACTAAAGAAGAACCCATCCAGAGGACCTGCTTATTTTTTCTTTTTGATTTTTTTCTACCTGGATTACTGAGATGCCTCAGGACTTACTGTATAACACTTTGTGCAGGGGTGGGAAATCCTGGTCCTCGAGGGCCACTATTATGCATGTTTTAGAGGTTTCTCTTCAACACACTTGATTTGAATTAGTAAGTGATTACCAAGCTTAGGCTGAACTTAAGAAGTGAATTCCATCACTGAATTAGGTGTGTTGAATCAGAGGAACAAGTAAAACARGTGTGGCAGCCCACGAGCACCAGGATTCCCCACCCCTGCCTTTGTGTGAAGTACAAGCCCTGGCAAAAGGTATGAAATCACTAGTCTTGGATGAGCACTCATTCAGACATTTCATTCTATAAAACAAACTCAGATCAAAGCATGATACAATAATAAGGTCATTCCAAAGTGCAACTTGTTGGCTTTTAGGAACACTCAAAGAAATGAAGAGAAGACATTGTGGAAGTCAGTGAATGTTACTTTTATTGACCAAGCACAGGGGAAAAAATATGGAATCACTCAATTCTAAGGAAAAAAGTATGGAATCACTCAAATTGGAGGTAGAAAATAAGGCCACACCCAGTAGGTTCGGTACCGAAACTCAGTTCTATTATGGCACCAGGGCAAATATTCACGGTTGTACACAGACCAAAACACAACTCTAACTTCGGTGCTTTAATTCGGTGCCTTAAAGAAAGCTGTTAATTTGCGCCCTCTGGTGTTCACTGATAACAGTGACAGCTGCGGCACACAATCTCCACGGACGCTCTTGTATGCGGTTCGACTCGGCTCYGTCTTGGCCCAATGCGCCTCTCCAAGCGTGTTCCACAGCCACGCTGTCTCAGAACCTCCTCTCTGGTGGTTCGGGTAGAAGCGAGTACAGCACGCTTATGATTTTAACATCAGCAGAATTCTGCCTGTGGATTAACTCTTGGACTGACAGCAAATGTCCTCCTGGAGAGAGCTGCTTTTGTTTAACACGAGCGCGCGGCACAATACGATGACATGGTGAAATAAAACCGCTTTTTTGAAAAAGGCAGAACTTGTAAACACTTCCTGGAGAGAAGTGAATGAAACGAAGCTAAGCAGATCATGGGTGGTTTTCAGCATACTGGCCACACGGTTACACTAGCACTTAGCTAAACAGCACTGTGA